TGCCTGCCCTTTCCTCCGCAGTCCCTCGCTGTAGGTTCTTCTGTGTTTCCCCGTCCTTGGCTGTTGTGTGAGTACCGCGGCCTCGCGTTAGGAGCGCGCGCGCCGGAGAGGCCCCAGGGGCCGGGTCTGAGCCGTTCGGGCATTGTGAGTGGCCAGGGCGCGAGGCGTGCGGTCAGGCGCACATGAGGCCACTGGGCACGGCCCAACCTGAGATCCTTCCTCGGGACGGCTGGGGCTTATTCCTGTTCCCCCGAGGCCATAGCATCTGTCTGCCCCAGCTGTTGCTCGGGTCCGTAGTTCTTATTTTCCTCCAGTATGTGTTCACTAAGTATCTACTGAATACCAGGCTCTGGGCATAAAAGGGACAGGCACAGGTGCAACTACCGTGGAACTTAGGTGGTTCACGAATGTAGGAAAGAAAGAGGAAAAAATGTGCTGTTTGTTAAAACGAAATATAGGTCCTTCTATGTGTCAATAAGATGGTCCAAGATGGTCCAGGTTTTCCCGAGTAGAGAGGTCTTCGAAGGGGATGATCGCGCATTCTGTTCGCGGGAAATGAGCGCTTTTTAGAGGTCCTAAAAGCAGAAAGGAGCAGAGCAAAGTGGGGTGGTTACCGAAGTAAGCCCCCCCCCCCCGCCCATTAAACACTCCTTAACCGCGGAAGGAACTTCGTGGTGGTCTATTTTACAGGTTGAGGAGCAAGTGACAGTATCTGTAAGACAGTGAAAGGTGGTGGGTCTCCTGCAGCTCTGACTATCCCTTTCTGATACCTTCGTGGATAGGGCAAAGGGCAGATGTGACAGGAACCCTCAAGTACCCGCTGAGAATAATGCCTTCTCACCAAGAGCCTGGCACAGGATCGCAGGTCTTAGCCAGGCTCCTAGGCCTACCTCTCAGGGGCTCTCTGGGCCCTGGAACCAATCCCATGGGGACAGTAGAGTTGCTGATCTGCCTGGAAGTAAGAGGAAGATTTCAAGAGAGGGTAGGTCCCCTTGCAGGCTGTATGGTGTTTAGTTCAGCATGGGCTTCTGTTTCCTTTTCTTGGAGTTAAAGAACTAAAGCATCTCCCAGTAGGGTGCCAGGGGTGAGGGATGTTCAAGGGAGCAGTTGGAGTGTGTGCAAAAGCACCTCTGGTGCTTTTGCCTGGAATGTGCTGTGGATGGCTTCCTGCCCTGTCTGGAGGAGCTTGATGCAGGACCCAGCCAAACTGAGTGAGGCTGCAGGGCTTAGTACAGGTGAGCAAACATGGTTAATGTGAGGGGTTGATGTTTGAAAAGAGTACCTCTGAAGCCAGGCAAGATGGCATCTGACTAATTCAGGACTCTGGAAAGCTGAGGCAGGAGGGTTGTAAGTTCAAGCCCAGCCTAGGCAACTTTGTGAGACCCTGTCTCAAAACGTAAAAACAAAACAAACTGGGTATGTCGCTTAGTTGGAAAATCCAGGGTTACACACCAAAAAGGAAGAGTACCTCTGGCGTGCTGGCATTGATCATTTGCTGGCCCTTGTATTGTACTAGGATCTAAAATGGCCTGTACATATTGGAAGTTGGAGGAAGTGAGATACTCCCATGAAGGACAGGTGTTGGAACGTGCTGTGAATCTTTAGCCCCTCACCTCACTGACTCAATGGCTTTCTGTGGCCGTGTACCCAGTCTTAAAATTTTTCCCTATGTAAAACGTCACACTCTTGTCCCCAGGTAGTTGTGGGGGCTAGCATAGATGTCAAGCATACCAGGAAGAGTTAATAAAGGAGTTATCCAGCAGGCCCCATGGCTGTCCTGGGCTAGTGGATGAAGGCACAGTGTCTGGGGCTGAGACAGAAATAGAACTGATGAGCTGTGGCATTTGAGTCAAAGACACTTTTGGGGCTTGCTGGACCTGAGGTGTGGTGGCTTGGGCAGTTAAGGTGTCTGCCTCTGGGCTGGCCCCTTCCTGTTGTAAGACAGTATTTCCATCTAAGGCAGGAATATCAGGAGTCAGGCAGGAAAGCAGCTGAGTGGGAACTTGGGATTGTGTAGTTTAACCAAAAGGCCAAAGGCATCATTCCAACATACAAATAGCAGGTTCTATTCAGTGTGGCTCTTCTAAAAAAGCCCCTTCTGCTATCCTTATCACATTTTAAGTGCTAGCAAATTCCCTTTTGGACACTAAACACATAGAAAGTTTTAGTAGGCAGCATCTGGCCCACGGACTCAGGCCAGGTGAACCCAGGGAGGTTCTGTTGAGGTGAGTACATAGGCTGGCAGACTGTGTCCTTGCCCACCTTTGCTTGCTTCTACTTCCTCTGGAGGGAGGGTAGTCTGGGAACCTGCTGATTTAGGTAACTTGGGCACAACAGGCCCTTTGAGGCACAGCCAGGGGATGAAAAGTGTAGAGAAAGCCCAGGAGCCAACTTTTCTGGAAAACTCTCTTCTATTCCTGGAGACCTCTGAGCCCTTACCACAGTAGTAGGCACAGCTGTGCCAGGTCATGTCCTCCAGTCAGGAGCATTCTTGGTAGGAGGTCTAGATTAGCAGGTCACAAGAGCCCTGTGCCCCCAGTCCCCCCACTTAGAGCCGGAATCTGCTTCTGCTGAGTGCCGCCTATACAGATGCTGGGCTGCATAGCCCCACAGGACTATCTTGGGCACCTCTCACCAGGACTGAGTGCTCACCTGGGCCTGTCTGCTTGGATCCCAGGAATGGGTGAGGTCTTGATGGCTAGGTTGTGGCAGTGTCTAGGAGTAGAGCAGGGGCTTCTCAGGTCACTTTCTCTGGGTCCTCACTGTTCTGCATGCTCCATACTCTTTTCAGTAAGCTTCCACAGCTTGAATAAGGATCAAGAAAGAAAGATTAGGACTGGAAATTTATCTCAGTGGTGCCATGCCTGCTGTATGAGTGCAAGGTCCTGAGTTCAATCCCCAGTACCAAAAGAAAAAAGAAAGCTTGACCATGTATAGGAATGTGGCGGTGTTCTGTTGGGATTCATGGTTTCCTGCTTCCAGGCTGTTCTTCACAGACAGTTGCAGGCTCACATCCAAGTATTTTCCAGGGCAGCATTTGTCCTTAGATGTAATGAAAATCAGGGACCCTGCCTGTAGAGCCTTTGTTGCTTTTCCTGGAGCCCTGTGGTAGCAGCCCTATCTGTCTAAGCCTCTTTCCTTCTCAAAAGTAGCACCTGCTGAATGAGAAGACTGGTCCCTCAGAGGCCCTTTGACATCTAGGCCTCTCACCTTGTCCAGGATGATAGGGTGGGAGAGGGTAGCTCTAGTGATGGTCTGTGCTTGTTCCCCAGGGTCTGCCTGGGCTCAGCTAATAGAACCCCCAAGAGCTGTGTTTTAAGAGATGAGAGGGCTGGGGATTTAGCTCAGTGCCTTGTGTGCCTGCCTTGTAAATGCAAGGACCTGAGTTCAGTCCCCAGTACCA